GCTTGGATCTTGTCAACAAGGTCCTTGTTGAGAATAACATGGATCAGGAGCAGGAGTCTGCAGAAAGCACATCTGCTGATCTACACAGGCTTGCCATGGAGGACCCCTACCTCAGAGATTTGCAATCAAGCATTTTGCAAGACTCTTCCTGCTGCCAGACCTTTAGCATGCTGAAATATGCCCGCACAGTTTCACTGGATGTGTGACTCAGATGTACTAATACATATGTTGTTTATTCTTGTTTTTGTGTTGCCTGAGTTGCCTGTTGCCTGTACGGTACATCTTCTCAGGCAAAGCACGGTCCATGCTGTGCAGAACTTGGCAGAGACTCACAAAACTGCCCTCAACTTCCTGAAAACCTTGGCTTCCTGCTTGTCCACAGAAGCGCAGCAATGGATGTCAAACATAGCAGCCTTGACCAAGGCTAAGGCTGAGGAGGAGAAAGCGATCGACAAAGCCCGGAAGCAAGCAGAGAAGGCTGAGAACAAAAGGAAGGAGAGAGCAGCAAAGGCTGCTGCCAAAGCAGCACAGAAGGAAGCGGAGAAAGCACAGAAAGCAGCTGAAGCCGCAGATGCGCTTGAGAATCCAGAAGAGGCAGAGGCAGAGGTGCCAGAAGCTGAAGAAAGGAAAACCCGCAAGCCAAAAACAGTGAGTCAAGAATTGTCAGAGGAAGACTATATGGTGCTTCACACAGGGTCAAATCCGAAGATGCCGGCCCAGTATGCTGCTGCCGTCATCAAAGATACGGTTGCCGCATTTGTGAATCACATTGTTGACTCACCACACCTGATCTCTGTTGGCCGCTTCAAGAGAAACGCTGTCAAGAAGGTACTGCAGGACCGACATGTGTTCAGTTCTTCTTTGACTACAAATCAAATCAACCAACAAAAACATACAAAACACATCCTAACTAATTCGTTACGACAATAACATCATTATCATTTACATAAGGTTGCATCAATGTGTGTGTGTGGGTGGCGTCACGCCAGTCGTTTCCAGGAGACACCAGCTTCACGTCTTGGTGCAAAACCCAATGAATATGCTCGGCTGATATCTGATGACATTGACAAGTTTACTTCACAATGCCTTCAGACTTATGATCAAGATTCCAGCAAACACCGGGTTGCAACTGTCACTGAAGCTCCTGCTGCAGCTCTTGCAATGGACGACATGCTTCGATTGGCAATGGACGATCCAACGCATGGTCTTGATGGTGATGAGATGGGAATAGTTGACCGTGCTTGGATTGCTGGTGAGTTGCTAGTTGTTAGCTTGAGTAAGTTTTAGATCTTCAATCTCCAGATATTTTTTGTTTCCTTGTGCCCGAGTGACCCCACTCTCAATCTTTGATCTACCCAACTTCGCCCTCAGGGTTCAAGAAGCTGAGAAGAATGCAGGGAAGACTGAAGCTACGCAACGGAAGGAGGCTATGCGCATTCAAGGGGCTGTCATGGTATCGGGTCGACCGTGCCAGAAGTATTCAGGACACTTTCCAACACCTCTGGGGACATTTGTCTATCACATTGAGGGGAACAAGTTGGTGGTAGCTATGGACACCACAGAAGCCGTCAAACTGGTTTGTGAGACTGAAGATCTGGAAGGTGCAGGTGTCTTTAGCAAGCGTGAAACCGCTGCTCAGATGGTGCAGGACTACGCAACTGCCCAAAACCATGACAGTACATGTTCCCAAATGTCCAATTCCCCAACAATGTTTATGTGTTTTTTCTGTTTTACTCTACTCATTGTAATTGTAGTTACTGTACATAGTTGATTTGAGTCAACGCCAGGATGCCACTTCGTATTTGGAAGGGTATGACTTGGAGACATTGAATGCAACCAACCCTGCGACCCTGAAATTTACGGTGCTGAATCCCGGTGACATTCTCTATATGCCCTCTGGAAGCTTGTTTGTCGAGAAAACGCTGAAAGCCCACGCCATATCCTTGAGGGTGGCTTCAACTATGTTTGTGAAAGAGGATGTTGAGTCACTTGCCATTCTTGCCACGGCCTATCAAGGGACGCTTGCCCTGCTTCAAACAATGGTTGTCTTGTTTGGGTGCAATGTGGAACTGTGGACGTAAGGCTGTGTAATTTTATCATATACCTGACACAAACTCCGGACCTAGATTAGACCTTGACCTAGACTAGACTCTGACTAGACTGCACCTGTATCAGGACATCTTTTGCTCCATCCTTTGATATCTTCATGCAGATTGCTGATTCCTTTACACGCTCTCCCAAACGTTTGCCAATGCTGAAAGCAGCCCCTTTGCCAGAGTCCCAAGCAAGGCCAGCTGTTGCCAACACGGCAACAGAAGCATCGCCTGCAGCGTCCCAACCAGCAGCATCCGCAGCCACATGCCAAGCAAAACAAGCAGCAGCACCAGCAGCGGGTGTCCATACTGAAGCAATGAATGTGAAGGAAGAGCCCGCCACAGCAGACATTGAGGAAGGAGCACGTCATGAGCATACACATGAGATGGATCAGGAGAATGAAGAAGCAGAAGAAGAAGAACAAGAAACCGATGCATATGCTGATGTCGATCATGAGGACTTCACCAACAATTCGACAAAAGAGCAGGATCCTATGCTTGCAGCTATTGATCGCATGTGTGCACCACAGACTCAGGGGCCTGGTACCACAGCCACAGCCACAGCCCCTGATCAAACATCAGAAGCAGCAGCGAAGACAATGCTAACATCCGAATGCGGAGCAGGGGCGGCAGAACAACCAAACCAATCAGCTGAGGCCACAGCAGCCCCTAAACAAACAGCAGAAACAGCAGCGCCGACAGCGACAACATTTGAATCCGAAGCAAAGCCAGCAGAACAACCAGACCAATCAGCTGTGGCCACAGCTGCAGCCCCTGATCAAACATC